TTGTTTCTGCTATCTGTCATTTTGAAACTTTAATGATCATATGTGATGTTTTTATACCCATCAAATCTTTCCCCTTTTCCGAAAATTTAACCTAGATCGACTGTTTATGAGCATGTTTCCTATATTTTCATCAAAGAAAACCCATTTTACAAATAAAATTACAAAAGTGCCAGCTGCTAGAATGAATAAATTGTATTTGTATTACTTTCTATGGGAAAAATTGTTTCGGTTAACAAACAATTCGGTTAACAAACGAAGTTGCGGAACGGATTAAGTTCGTTAACTAAGGTTCCACTGTATATAGATAATTGATGCCATTGGATAGTATATTCTTTTCTGTTATATTACTACCTAACTACAATCAAACAACATTGTTTTTTCAAAACTGTAAGCGTACAGCATTTCAAAGTAAAACAATAAAACAGTTCCAAAAATAAAGTGAAACAGTTATTCATAAATTTTTTGTTATTATTATTTTTATAATATATTGCTGTAATATAGGGTAAAGTATTGTTATTTTACACTGTTGAAAAATAAAGTGCCCATCAGTGCTTGAATGGATAAAACCACTGAACACTGGAAGTTGGTTATGGGTTTATGTTTCACCAACTGGTTGGTGCCATATAGAGTTTTCCTGATTTTCTTGACACATTTAACACCTAAATAGATTGTTTCCAATAGAAAGTCCTACTGGAAGGTATCCACCTAAGCAGATCATCCACAAAATGAGAATTGTAATTGTTTGATTTGTTGGGATAAGACAACACAACATTTAGGAAATCTAAGAAGGAAAATGTCTCCCGATAAAATTTTCAATAGAAAACTGGCCCCTATTTTCATGTTGGACAAGTGAAGAAACCCAGAAAAGTTCCATGGCTGATCTACTGTCGGACACAAACCTACAACCAACTACCAATATTCAGTGGTTTTAAGTTTATTCACTCAGCCACAGGTTAAAACTGTAAAAACTATCTAAAATAAATAGTATACAACGGGAATCGTTTCTACTCAGAAGAAACACAGTAAAGTATTAATATTTTTTTTATAATATAATTTTAAAATTTCTCGTATTTGTTCTGTTCCATAGAAACTATGCCCAGGGTGGTTTGAGCTCACTTATAAACCCTTATATATCATTTAATCGCGCTTTCAGTAGTTATGCCACCGCTGATAATTTGTAAATCTTACTAAACTTTTAATCAGTTTTAAAAATGAACATCTTCCAATTTTGAAATATAAAAGTAAACTTTTTCCCAAATTTAAAAACATATTATTTAAATTATAATAATTGTGAATTTATTAAAAGCACAAAATCGATTCAAAAAATAACGTAATTCAAATGAGATTACAAAATTTAATTCAAAATAAAGTTCGAACTTGAGTCACTCGTCCTTCCTTGCAGATGATAAAAATAGAAAGTCGAATAACTCAAAACTTCAATTATATAAATCGAGTTAAATAACACACTTACGTAGATGACTCCATTTTTGTTGAGTTTTTAATCACACATAACACTAACTTTCCTCATTTCCAATATAGATCGAATATCCTTATACTTTATCTTAAGATATCCACATTGAAGTAAGTTTGTTTACTTCTGAATTCAATAAACAGCTCCACCTGCTTAATGATAACTTGCTATTACGTTATTAATTATAAAATTAATGTTTTAAATTTTAAAGTAAAATAAACATTTTATTTATAATTAATATTATATTTTAAAATTTCGATGTAAATAATAATATTTCTATTATAATTTTTTAATGTTAATATAGTTTTTATTCTTTTATTTTTACTCTTCCAGTTTGGAGGACACTATAGGATATTTTTTAAGCCTTGGTCAATTATTCCTGGCTTACAATGACGTGGCCAACGCTATTTGTAAGGAATGAGGCTTGACATATCCGGACTAAATCACCCTTAAAAAATTTCGTGGTAATCCGAACTAGATTTGAACTTGAATTCCTGAACCGATTGCCTTGCATTTTAAGTCTTAGCCATCCGACGACACCGAGGTCGGATTTTAACAACCTGTGCCGATTAAGTGGCATTTGGGGAACAACCCCTGTGCCCTCGGCTTAACTCACACATGCAAAAAATAATTTTCTTAAACCTTTATTACGTATTCTATAATGTGATATTTTTACGTCCTCTTTGCCAAGTTTTAACTTACGAGGTATTTAGTCTAAAGGTCAGCAGTTCTGCTTTTATATATTGAGAGACAGAGATCACTCATGAAATTATTTAATTCTGCTTGAATCGTCTTTGTTCCGAACTGCCGTTCTCGAATATATATTCAGATACTGTACAGATAAGTTAGTCTCCATGATGACACTAACTCCATAATCCATTTCGTCATGAGTTTTCATTTCAATTATCGGGTAGATTTGGTACCTTCATAATAATAAAGCCCTGTTTTTGGAGCTTAAATTTTTATCAATAAGTGTAAATAAAAATATAAATCGACTCAGACGTCGCTCTCCATTTCTCACGTCGTCTTTTCAACCTCATTATGAAATAGATCCGTTCGAAATAAATGAAAATTGACTCCGGCTCCATTGTTCATAATACTGTATACTGGATGCCATGCCTCAAAGCAAACAACATTTAATTTGCAATTACGAGTATAAATCTTCTAAAGAAATTTTTTAAATAATAAATTCAAGATTATAATAAAAACTGAGATTTAAAGGTGAAAATTTAATTTAAATATTACAGAATAAATTCTACGAAAAGTTTCAAACAGTTAATTACTGTATATTAACGGAAATTCATTTGACATTTAAAAATTATTTTACTATGGATGAAATGACAATTTATAACAGAATAATAAAATATAAAGGAAAAATAAGATATTGACCATTGGAAGCATATTTTTCCGTCGCATTGAATACATCAATAGAATAAAAGAAACAGAAATTTTGCTTCTCTTTAAATTTCATGATTTGGAATTTCCGGTACTATACANAAATATGAATTAAAAATTAATTTTGAAAATATATTCTTATAAATTATTACTGAATTTTCAAAAAAGACGACTACATAAAAGTTTCACGCACTCTTAAAACTTGTAGAGCCGGCACTGCCTGTATGTATTTTATTTTGTAATATCTTGTATTAATCTATTATATTAATTTATTGTGTTGCACTAACTTCAGCTTCATGTAATACTTAACCTCCTTGTAACAAACTAAGGTTCAAACAACAAAGAATTGATATTTATGTTTTATCTAACTGAATAAATAACTGAAGAATAAATATAGCATATTTATTCAAATCTTTTTGTATTTACTTCATCCTCAGATATTTAACTAACTGAAGAATGAACAGTTGGAGGAATTTAAAGTTAAACAAGCAATTATTTATTGTGAAATCATCATAATGCTGGGCTGTAATTTAAAATATATGCTCTCCACCCCAAATTAGTGTCTTGCCCTATACATCATCCTTTTCCTGTTAGCAATACAGTAATGCCAGTAATCTATCTAACTCCTTTCAGAAGAAAGTTTTTGAATTGACGTAACATGACTTCCAGTTTGTATCAGAAGTTTATATATAGTTAATCAGGGCCTCCTGCCCCTGATCTTTCCATATCTGGTCTCAGCTTTCATCTATATAACTCCATTTTGAAGATTAAGGAAGGACAGACAACAATTTAGAGGTCTACAATTTTTTCAAATTGCAGCCCAAAAATCATATCTCATATTGGAATGAACAAAAATAAATAAAACAGAAAAGATCTTGCAGCCATTTCTCCAATGGCTCAAAAATGTCTTATTTTATTTTTGTTCCTCCAAAAATGATGTAACAAGTGTATTTTAGAAGTTTATCATTTTACTTTGAATTATATTGATTTATTCATTCCAGGTCAAATGTTTATCCAAAAACATCTTAGTATATTTAATTTATATTTTGTTTTTTGTTCTAGAAAAAGCATTTAGTCAAATTATAAATATTTATTTTTTCATAATCCAAAATTAATTTTTTATCAATTTTCACTTCTTCCATAATTTACATTATAAAGAAAGTCATCAAGAAGTATACAAAATTTTTATTCTGTCTAAATTAAAATAGTGATAAATTTATTTGAATGATTTAAATTACCAAACAATCATTTTAATTAATCATTCAAATCTATAAAACTCTTTCTTTCAGCTAAATTCTAGCAGTTTTTTAAATGCTTAACATCAAAATGATGATGTAATCACTACATTTTTCACATTAAGCACAAAATGTGAAAATCTCCAAACTATATTCAATATACCACTATTAATGAAATTTTTACTTAAATTCAAATGAAATTTAAAATAATTTATTAATTTTACATTTAATGTATAAAATTATTAAAAGACTGAAGTATTTTTATTTAAATAAGCTTATTTAAAAACGAAAATTGTTATAAATTGTTCACTATAAGAATAAATCAAGACACATATCTAAATAATTTGTTTAATTAGACTGGTTTTTACAGTACACTATGAAAAATTGCACAATTGTCTAGTGCAGTATTTCCCAATGAGGCAAAATTGAACTATTGTTGACCAAAATAATTTTTAGTAGATAATTTTAATTTTAGACTAAGAAATTTTTGTAACTTTTTTGTAATTTTTTTTATTTTGGGGGATTTTAAGTCGATGNTTATTGTTTCTTCCAATTTTGTGAATAATTTTATATTTTATTTTTATCCTGGCTATTTTATTTATTAAAAAATAAATGTAATATAAATAAAATTATAAATTATATGAACCATTTAATATTATCCTAAATATTAAATAATAAGCTAAAATAAATTATGTTAAATTAAAATTTAAAAAAAATGACAATCTAAACAAAACTGAAAATTTAAGCAAATTTTATTATAATTAATACATTTTTTGAACTATACATATCTATAAACTAATTAAAACTTCTTAATTAAATATCAAAATTAAAAAAAATTAAATTAAAAAACATTTTAATGATAAACAATTTAATTAAAAGTTTTTATTAATATAACTTACCTAATTTAATATATCCTCTCTTTACAAAACGATTTACTATTTTAGTAACTATATAACCAATTATCCTTGAATTATAATATGTTATATATATCACCCAGCTCATCGCAAGAAATAGTGCACAGAGAAGCCATGCGAAGTTAGAATCTAGAGAAATATTTTCTAAAGTAGTTGTAGTTGTATTTCGATTTATAAAAGAAATTCTGTTAGAAGTAAATCCAGAATTGGAACTAGAAGATTCAAGCCTGTAAGATATATAATTCACAATAAATAAAAAGAACAGATTTCTTTATATTCTTGAAAAATTTTAATACTTATAAATCAAAAAACTTTTATGAACTTTTTAAAAATTTCAAATCAAACTGTTTTATCAAAAGTTTAAATTTACAACATTTCATCTATCTTTAATAGTTCTGTGTTCTGGAATTCATCTTGACAAATAAACATTCAGAATTATAACATTTAATTTACTAAATACTAACAAACACAGGATAGCACATAAAAATGCTTTACATTTAAAAAAAATCATATTTCTTTTAATTTTAAACTTACCGTAAATGCAGTATCTTTTACAAAAAATAAACAAACACAACAAAGGTTTATTAATGCTGTAAGATATACACAAAATTATTATTAAAATCATGATAGATACGTAATGTTTCTATACAAATCAATAAACCGTCTTAGACATTTCTCCCTCAGTTGGTCAACATAATATATTGACATGTGTATTCATTCTACCTTGGTGAACATATTCTCTTCTCAAATCATTATTTTAGCAACACAATAATGCTGTTTTTTCCCAAACTTATCACAACTTCTATATGTTATAATTCTCTTTTTTTTTTTTTTTTATTCTTTTTAAGAACCTTTAAGAAAATGCATTTTGGTCTCATATCCCTCTTAAGTTGTTATACAGTTGTTACACATTAAAATATGCATTAATCAGATTATATACCAAAATACTGACAATAATCCTTATGCAATTGCTGATTATTTTTGTAAATAATCATAGCAATTGCATAAGGATTATTGCCAGTATTTTGGTAAATAATCAGATGAATACATAAATAACATATATATCCTATTCTAACAAATTAAAATTTCAAATTTATTATTTTTATTAAATATATATTATACTAGCATATGTTATTTTTTTGCTCAGGCAAAAAATAACAATAGCAAAGATTAAAATTATTAATTTATAGCCGATTTTTCATTATAATAGAGAAATAACCTACTTGATGATAACCTTACTTGAATAAACTGATAAATTTTAAATTCTAAAATCTAAAATAACTTGTTTGGAACATTATATTTCAATTCAATATTTCAAAGTTTTGAATTTGGAACGAATTCAAATATTTGTTTGAATTAGTTTATTTTGGACTTATTGTTTTGGGGTTACCTGAAAGGTGAAAATGATTAAAATATTTATTAATTGCTGAAATGTATACTATAGATACCACTATTTATTTTCTTTCTTTATTATTTACATTTTATACTGACTAAAATTAACTCTCTTTCCCTCTTTCCCTCTTCCCTCATGGGAATGGAATTTCCAAAAATCCCTTCTTAATATGCATTCTAATAGTGTATCCTATTAAAACGCAGTCAAAAACGCAAAAATCGCATCTAAAATAGTACAGTAGAAGCCAAATTCTTCAGGATAATCCTTAACCCTCTCCCTCTCCCCCACAAGGGAAATTTTGAAAAATCCCTTCTTAGTGTACATTCTCACGATGTAACCTAACTGTGTACCAAATTTCAACTTTCAACTCCTAACCATTTGTGCTCTGCACTTATTATTATTAACCCATCTCAATTATATATACAGTGTAACCCCGGATAACAACCAAATCAGTTAACAAACTTTTATTTTGCAAAAATTTTGTCTCAGATAATGGACGAAATTCAGATAACGAACTTAACAGTTTTTTTGTGTCAAATTTGTAAGCTTGCTGACTTTTAGGGGGAAATCAGTTAATTGTGTGTTGGTGATGGTCTAGGGCAGAGGTGGCGAACCTGTGGCATGTTGAAGAAATCATCCAGCACGTAACATATTATACGTGGTTTATCATCTTTTTCAATCAGGTTCTTTACATTTTACTCTAATTACAGCATATTATTTTATTTATTTAAATATAGTTTTTTAAAACTCTTTTTGTCCTGTAGGCACTAAGATGGCTTTTTTATTTAGCAAACTCCAAATGGAACAGTCAGATGGTGAAGAATGGATCATCACCTAAAAATTTTCTGGAGTTTTGATCTCGGGTCCACAAGAGTGATAAGCTACCACTTTGACCGCTCAGCCATTCTGCCAAATTTAAACATAGTTACTACAAGTCTAAAACTTATGCATGCATAATCATTTTTAAAGAAAAGTATGCTTAATATGCTTACTATGTGGCATGCAGACTCAAAAAGGTTCGCCATCCCTGGTCTAGGGTCCATTCGTACATTGGTGGTGGCAGAGGAAACAAAGATGACAAGTATTTTACAGTGAAAATTGTTTATTAGAACAGGAAGATGCTTACATATTTGAGGTAATTGGAAATGGTTTATTTATAGTATTTTTTCCCAGGAGCGGCGTATCGCTGGTCCTACGATAGTGCAAGTTGACCCAGAGCAGATAAGATGGATTCGCTCAGTCACAGAAGCGATGGTAGGTGATGGAGCTGTGGTGACTGGAGTGGTCTGCGAGACACAACACAACTTAGCGAGCACGACTTCAGGCTTAATCCAGGTGAAGATGACACAGATTAATCGTCGTAGAATTTTTAGGAGAACTGTGTTTTGACCTGAGATTCGGGGTTTTTATAGTATTTCTTCCTTGAATCTCACCTTTTGATTGGTCCTATGTCCCATTCCTCGCTTCCCGATTGTTTTCTTCTTTGTCTCCAGGTGAAAACCGAAACCAGATCAGGTCACGAGAGAAGTCCGTTCCAAGGCGTCTATTTGACACCCGTTCGTCAAGTCTGATCAGAGATTGTTGATAAACCTATAAGCCTTGTGCTCATAATTTAGCCCATTGTTTCTGCTATCTGTCATTTTGAAACTTTAATGATCATATGTGATGTTTTTATACCCATCAAATCTTTCCCCTTTTCCGAAAATTTAACCTAGATCGACTGTTTATGAGCATGTTTCCTATATTTTCATCAAAGAAAACCCATTTTACAAATAAAATTACAAAAGTGCCAGCTGCTAGAATGAATAAATTGTATTTGTATTACTTTCTATGGGAAAAATTGTTTCGGTTAACAAACAATTCGGTTAACAAACGAAGTTGCGGAACGGATTAAGTTCGTTAACTAAGGTTCCACTGTATATAGATAATTGATGCCATTGGATAGTATATTCTTTTCTGTTATATTACTACCTAACTACAATCAAACAACATTGTTTTTTCAAAACTGTAAGCGTACAGCATTTCAAAGTAAAACAATAAAACAGTTCCAAAAATAAAGTGAAACAGTTATTCATAAATTTTTTGTTATTATTATTTTTATAATATATTGCTGTAATATAGGGTAAAGTATTGTTATTTTACACTGTTGAAAAATAAAGTGCCCATCAGTGCTTGAATGGATAAAACCACTGAACACTGGAAGTTGGTTATGGGTTTATGTTTCACCAACTGGTTGGTGCCATATAGAGTTTTCCTGATTTTCTTGACACATTTAACACCTAAATAGATTGTTTCCAATAGAAAGTCCTACTGGAAGGTATCCACCTAAGCAGATCATCCACAAAATGAGAATTGTAATTGTTTGATTTGTTGGGATAAGACAACACAACATTTAGGAAATCTAAGAAGGAAAATGTCTCCCGATAAAATTTTCAATAGAAAACTGGCCCCTATTTTCATGTTGGACAAGTGAAGAAACCCAGAAAAGTTCCATGGCTGATCTACTGTCGGACACAAACCTACAACCAACTACCAATATTCAGTGGTTTTAAGTTTATTCACTCAGCCACAGGTTAAAACTGTAAAAACTATCTAAAATAAATAGTATACAACGGGAATCGTTTCTACTCAGAAGAAACACAGTAAAGTATTAATATTTTTTTTATAATATAATTTTAAAATTTCTCGTATTTGTTCTGTTCCATAGAAACTATGCCCAGGGTGGTTTGAGCTCACTTATAAACCCTTATATATCATTTAATCGCGCTTTCAGTAGTTATGCCACCGCTGATAATTTGTAAATCTTACTAAACTTTTAATCAGTTTTAAAAATGAACATCTTCCAATTTTGAAATATAAAAGTAAACTTTTTCCCAAATTTAAAAACATATTATTTAAATTATAATAATTGTGAATTTATTAAAAGCACAAAATCGATTCAAAAAATAACGTAATTCAAATGAGATTACAAAATTTAATTCAAAATAAAGTTCGAACTTGAGTCACTCGTCCTTCCTTGCAGATGATAAAAATAGAAAGTCGAATAACTCAAAACTTCAATTATATAAATCGAGTTAAATAACACACTTACGTAGATGACTCCATTTTTGTTGAGTTTTTAATCACACATAACACTAACTTTCCTCATTTCCAATATAGATCGAATATCCTTATACTTTATCTTAAGATATCCACATTGAAGTAAGTTTGTTTACTTCTGAATTCAATAAACAGCTCCACCTGCTTAATGATAACTTGCTATTACGTTATTAATTATAAAATTAATGTTTTAAATTTTAAAGTAAAATAAACATTTTATTTATAATTAATATTATATTTTAAAATTTCGATGTAAATAATAATATTTCTATTATAATTTTTTAATGTTAATATAGTTTTTATTCTTTTATTTTTACTCTTCCAGTTTGGAGGACACTATAGGATATTTTTTAAGCCTTGGTCAATTATTCCTGGCTTACAATGACGTGGCCAACGCTATTTGTAAGGAATGAGGCTTGACATATCCGGACTAAATCACCCTTAAAAAATTTCGTGGTAATCCGAACTAGATTTGAACTTGAATTCCTGAACCGATTGCCTTGCATTTTAAGTCTTAGCCATCCGACGACACCGAGGTCGGATTTTAACAACCTGTGCCGATTAAGTGGCATTTGGGGAACAACCCCTGTGCCCTCGGCTTAACTCACACATGCAAAAAATAATTTTCTTAAACCTTTATTACGTATTCTATAATGTGATATTTTTACGTCCTCTTTGCCAAGTTTTAACTTACGAGGTATTTAGTCTAAAGGTCAGCAGTTCTGCTTTTATATATTGAGAGACAGAGATCACTCATGAAATTATTTAATTCTGCTTGAATCGTCTTTGTTCCGAACTGCCGTTCTCGAATATATATTCAGATACTGTACAGAGAAGTTAGTCTCCATGACGACACTAACCCCATAATCCATTTCGTCATGAGTTTTCATTTCAATTATCGGGTAGATTTGGTACCTTCATAATAATAAAGCCCTGTTTTTGGAGCTTAAATTTTTATCAATAAGTGTAAATAAAAATATAAATCGACTCAGACGTCGCTCTCCATTTCTCACGTCGTCTTTTCAACCTCATTATGAAATAGATCCGTTCGAAATAAATGAAAATTGACTCCGGCTCCATTGTTCATAATACTGTATACTGGATGCCATGCCTCAAAGCAAACAACATTTAATTTGCAATTACGAGTATAAATCTTCTAAAGAAATTTTTTAAATAATAAATTCAAGATTATAATAAAAACTGAGATTTAAAGGTGAAAATTTAATTTAAATATTACAGAATAAATTCTACGAAAAGTTTCAAACAGTTAATTACTGTATATTAACGGAAATTCATTTGACATTTAAAAATTATTTTACTATGGATGAAATGACAATTTATAACAGAATAATAAAATATAAAGGAAAAATAAGATATTGACCATTGGAAGCATATTTTTCCGTCGCATTGAATACATCAATAGAATAAAAGAAACAGAAATTTTGCTTCTCTTTAAATTTCATGATTTGGAATTTCCGGTACTATACAGTACGTATAATACTTAATAACTGTGAATAAAAATTCTTCTAAAATTTTAATTCTTTTAAAAATAGTAAGAACATAGAGGTAAACTCTATTTCCTTAGTATTTTACATTTCTGTGTATATATTGTTTTGTGTATTATTCCTTTTTATTCTATTATTAATTTAATGTTACCTAGATTTATATTAAAGCTAGGAAATAGAATGACGTTATTCGAAAAAATATTCTTTAAAACCGTCGTCCTTGACCAGTGTTCTACGAACCTTTCTCGAGTGTTCCACGAAAAAAATATTTTAAAGTTTTTATTATAAATTTATTCTAATGTACTAGAACGTGTTTTTATATTCGTAGACAATTCCACGTTCCTATTTTATTCAATGCATTAAAGTTTATTAGTTTATTGCTTCATTGTTTCCTGAAAATAGTAAACCTGGAATTGTTTATGAAGTTTTGAATATATTGATGATAATGCTTCGTACATGAATGGTATTTTGCAGCCTCATAAACGTTCAGAATAACTGGATTAAATAAACAAAATATATATATATATATATATCCATTAAAATTTAATATGAAAAACTACATTCTGTAATTTAATATCAACGTAATATATGCTGTACACTATATATATATATATTAACGAATATGACGAATATCTTAGTTTATCGCAAGTTGAATCCTCCGATCCATTGATAAGAATATACAGATGTAAGCTTCTACATTACATTAATCTATATGAGTTATATAGAGACTCGTGTAAGGTTGCAGCCGAAGTTTTCATCTCTAAAACGTTCACGCTAGTACCAGTCAGACGTGAAAGTCAAGATGTATGTCTGAACAATGAAAACACAAAAAATTATCAATAGCAAAGAACCAAATTTGTACTACAATTCGTAAAGAACAAATTGGTCGTTTTTTTTAAATCTTAATTACTTTTATTATTAATTTAAAAATTCGCAAAATTAACAAATCCAGATCAAGCGTAGCATCGCGTTTCTCAGCTTCATGAAGAATTAAAAAAAGCAACAACTAACAGCTAATACATAGAAAAATCTCATTATTTGCAGTTTTTATTTTTTATTTTCTAAATCTTAATATTTAAACAATTAGCAAAAGTATTGATACTATTTTTAACAGAGAAATCCTGATTAAGGTGCTTATATTTAGTAGATAAACATTTATAATAAATTTACACATTAAAGACAAATGTTTCGTTTAGGAAATACTTATGTATTTGTTACTTGCACAAGATGTCAGAAGAAATCCGTTTCCTGTTGTTACCTGGAAATGTTAGTTTCTTAAATGTAAAACTCTGAAACAGCACTAAAAACTTCAAAAATTAATGCTGTCGGGTGTTCTTGGTTTGTGGAAAATTCTATTTCCAGAATTATCATAAAATTTTCTCACTTAAGCCACAAAACCACGTCAAGGTGACACCCACTTTGTGGTGGTTTTTTTTTGTATCCAGAAACCAACCCTACTTGCTAGACAGCGTAGCAAGTAGAGAGAAAAACTGGATCGCGCGCGAAGTTCTTATAGGTAAAACGACCAATAATGACTTTTGTCCTTCTCTTTCCTCGTCCTCTACCCATCCAATCCAAAAAAATACACCGTCGATCTCGTGATTTATATTAAGCATTTTAAATCTTATAGTGTAAGCAAAAATTGGAAAACTTAAGCTATTAATTCTTTTTATAATATGGGATTATCACTCTAAACCTCTCCATACTTTCCGTTAATTGCATTCGACCCAAGTTTAGGCTAATTGATTTCACGTCATTGTATTTTGCGAATTTTATATTTGTTCCTTAGGGGATCGACGATTTGTTAACGATCCATTTTCGATTCAGGTGACGATTTTCCTAAACCGCAGTTGGAAATTCCCACTAATATCAATCGGCACAAATGGAATAGGAACAATTGGATTTACTATGAAAGTGTTTTTCTAGATTTACGGTCCGACAACAGCTCTTTTGCTGTTCACGAGCAGCTGTTGGAGAGTTCTGTTAAAGCTTTACCTTAGAGCCAGGAATCAAACCGACAAACCTATGTCTTCTGATTGATTCTTACCCATTTTGAATTTTAGTTAATTCTGCTATTAGCACTATTGTATATGAGCTGGAAATTTGTCTCATCGTCAATTCACTCCAATGGCCAAGTATGGTGGCCAAGAACTGGGGTCTCAACCACGATGCACTTGATCCCATCTACAATGTTGTCTTTATATCAATCACCACATACGTTTCGACCATCTGTAGGTATGCCAGCCAACAGTCTCGCCACATGCAACGGCTACAAAGTGCCTCGAAGAAAGGCATTTCTGCTTCTGGCTCAATCATATTCAACAGCCTTAACTGTGTCCTTACATGTCCTTACTGCCAATCAATTGTTATGTAGAATATGATGGATCTCGCTATCTTGTTGCCAAAGAAAATGACATCGCTGTCTCCTCCATTAACTTCCCTGCCCGCTTCATGAAACTAAAATTTGCTTCAATAAGCTTCCTCGTCCTACCTAAGGTATAGATTGCAGTCTTGAAACGATGCCACGCATGAAATAGAAACATATACCGATGGTTCGAAGAAATTCACCGGAAGTGGTTCTGCATTTGTGACTTATCTCAATGAAATGAAGATTCACTACAAGCCTAGCACTTTACTTCCTAATTGCTCGCAATCCATTAAGCCATTCAGTAGTGCGAGGTAACACACTAAAAAAGGAAGTGGTAATCTTCTCTGATAGATCGTCAGCCGTTTTGACTTTTCAGAATAAGAACAGCTTAAACCCCCTCATTAGGAACATCCTATACACCTATATCTCCAGCACCAATCATTATTCCCTCAACTGGCTGAGAGAACACTGTGGCAATCGGGGAAATAAGAAAGCAAATGTACTTGTTCGGGCTGTGGCAGGTCATGCAGATTAGTCCTACAGATTACAATCATTCGGAATTCGGAATGGGATTTTCTACTGCGCTCGCCACTTCTGGAACGTCTATCCCTTCTGGAATGTTCGTAGGAGCGTGGCGAACGTGATCGAGAACGACGTCCACGGGAACGAGATCTGTAGCGACGATCTCTTGATCGACTTCTTGATCTGATATGCGGATTCGAGTTCTCCTTTGGAGTGATCTTTTCTTCCGGATGTTTTCTCTGCTTAGAACTTCTTTGAGTTTTTCTATTTTCATTTTCTTCCGCTGATTTTATATTATTTCTTCGTCTGTCTCTAGAACGAGATCTTCGAAATCTCTCAGGAGTACGTCGATCCCGACTGTGTGATCTACGAAAACGATCCCTGCTGCGGGATCGACTCCTCCTCCTGCCACGGTCGGGACTGCTGGAAGTGCTGCGAGATCTAGATCTAGATCTCCTCCGTCGAGAATCTCTTGCCATGGACGTTGATCCCCTTAAAAACACTCAAATAATTACAATTTAATAGTTAAATATCTAAAATGACAAGAAATTTGAATTTTTTCTTTGAAAAATTAAAGACGTTACTATCAAGTCTTATCCCTTATGGCTGCCATTTTTAATTCAGCACAGAGACATCTAGAATTCTGCCAGTCATATCAAACAACCGCTCTGGAGGGAAAAGGTCCCACAAATTCAATTAAAAGGAAAGATCATGTTTCGGATTATCAACCGTATGTGACAACCTAATGGCCCGTCATTTCATTTCCAATATTTTTTAATAATAACAAACTTCTAGTTAATACTCAAAATTATTTTCGGAAATATCACCAACTCTTATAATTGATTTCCTCTCAGCTCCTAGGCTAATCTGAAATTTTAGGAAATGGAGAGGATGGACGTCAAGAGAAAAAGATACCTCTTCAATTTGTAAAATTTATTTCGCAAAGTTTTCAAAAATCTATAAGTATCGATACTATGATAAGCTATAAGAATATACTATCTCTATAGAAGATCGGATGACGGAAATTATGAAAAAATTTAACTACACCAGCACAAACTGAACTATCTCCCAAGTACTATCTGAAAAAATTCTAACTGGGTATAGAAAGCTCAGAACTTACCTGTTTCATTTGTTCTATTCTATTGCACACATTATAACAAACGTAATCGAAACGGAGGAAAACTGATCTTCTCTGCTTACGTATCTAATGAACAGTGTCTTGTACTCGATGCTTTCATCTTTACGTTACTGGCATAAAAGTGCTAAGAAAAGATATCTCCTGAATGGGAGCTAGGTTCCATACAACACAATTCTTCACTTTCATCTGCTGAATTTTGTTTGACGTGAGGAATATTCGCCGCCATGAATAACTTATTTAAATTCATAGCGTCCATTTGCTCCAAGGGAGAACGCAGTCATGCTATCAACTACCAGCCCATCAAAACTTTTACAATAATCCTGAACCATTACTCCATTCATATTGAGGACGTTAACTACTGTTGGTTACCTTTCTCAGGAAATAAATGGCATTTACCAAGCCCTAATACATCACCTTACCTGAAATCTGAAGACAGCAACCCATCCAAGTATATAACTGGATTATATTGTTTTAAGTTTTCACTCTTAGAATTTTTCTAGCCAATAAAAGACAAAACGTCAAAATATTGCCACTGATTTAAAATGATTTGCATTTGCTCTCCAAGTCGAAATTGTTGTCCACGTTTTTACTTATCTATTAAAAATAGAATATTACAATTTCCTGGATAAAACATTGCAAAAATACCTCAAGTTGTCTTTACTTAGTAATAAATACACACACACACACACACATACATAATACTTTATTTTAATATACCAATTGGGAAATCTCGGGATTGGATCTACTCTTTGAAGCTGGTCCTCTAGTGAATAGACGGACTGTCTCGCGAGAAGTATTTTTTCTCCTTCCAAATTCTCTTCACTTTTCACGAATTCCCTTCTAATGTTATCTTATTCTCAATTTTTGCCCCTTCAAGCCATGCCTTTGAATAAAGCCAGTTTCTTCTGTATATTTTTCTCTTTGGAAGAATAATTATCGTTAGAATCCGATAGGTCCTCAATACTTTTAACACTTACCTTGTCGGACACTCCAACTGCAGTTCGAATTTAGAAATAGAACTGTAATTGGAGCGTCTGACGAAAGCTCTGTTGCATCAGAATCAAGAATAAATCTTAGAAATTTTACATTCTTCTTCTGGAATCAAGGAATCGTGGACGATCGTTTTTCTTCATTGATGTGATATAGCTAATTGATATGTAGAGTCGGAAACCACGATGTTTGCGAATCTACATAAAATGATGTCGTTTTGATCGGAAATTATAGCAGATATTCGTTTTCTATTTTAGAATTTATATAATTCTCCAATACCGATTGAAATAATTCGCGAACAGATCTACATTTTCTTGAAATTAAAATTTTATCTTTACAAAGATTAATTGTCCGCAAACAATCACAAGAACAATAATAGTTTATTGTTACGGAAGAAAATATTTTTCCATTATTTCGATTTTAATACTAAGATATAAAAGGAATATGTTAAAGTATGAACGTTTAATGCAATTAAACACGGTTTCTTTAAAATGGATTTCGGATAAAAACTTAAATTTATAATTTATAAAAAGAAATATATACATGTTATATAGTGTAAATGTTAAGTGTAGCATTAACACATTAATATATTTTAAAATGTAAATGAGCTAAACCGAACTTGGTGAATGTTGCATACTTCGGCATTTGTATACATTTAATCTTTGTGAATGCATTTTATTGAACAAAAATCTATAATTGCGTTATTAAATAGATTGAAAATTACTTACGAAATGTTAAAATCCTCTGAAAATATCTTCTTTCTGTCTTTTAATCGAATTTCTCGGCTCTGGCAAATTCACGTTATTGTCGAATGTAATCAATTGTCGGAGTGAATTGTTACGAGGGTTTTGTTGAAGAAACTAATTTTTGCTAATTAATTTCAGCGATTAAAATATTTTAGCATTATTTAAATTTTGTGAAGTTTTACTTTTCTGTCGCAACACTATTATTAAATATCAGGGCTGTGGAGTCGGAGTCGTCAAAAATTCCCCCCCCCCCGACTCCGACTCTTTATTTTTACTTTCCCAACTTGTTATGTATATATATAAAAGTATTTGAATCGTGTCACATTTGACCCTCCGAGTTTTTTGAAAAAAATATACGTTTGGAGATCTCTCGAACCCAAAAAATGTCAAATAATGGGAAAAATTCGCGTCTAATTTGTTTAAGTTCTTTATTCCGTTCTGAATTATTAAACAATATTTCAGAATGAATAAAGTTTAAGAAACAAAATTTGGCACAGTAGCATCTGTATAAAGGGCATTAAATTAATGCTATTAAAATTTGGTTCTTAAGGATTACCCTGAAGAACTCCGTTTCTACTGTACTATTTTAGATACGGTTTTTTGCGCTTTTGCGAAAAATCGAACATACTTTTAGACCAATCTGAAAATTCTTTAATTAGTCTCGGAAGAGGGGGACCTACTTCTTGCACCCAGTAAAAAACGGGTAAGATCGGTTATAATCTAATAATCTTGATTATTACCTTAATTAATCGCCTCGGTCATCCGGCTATTTAGATCCAAAACTACGAGTCTTTGCTTTGCAGTTTTATTTTTAGTTTTTTTTTTCCTGTGGGCACTAAGAGGGCTTCTTTTAGCAAGCCCATTATGTGTTCGGCCAGGCCCATAATGTGGTGAGGAACGGGGTTTTATTTTAGTTACTAGAGAGAACTAGAAACGTAAAATTCCTGTAAATTTGTAAATGCAAAAGTAACGATAATAATGCTATTGTTACATAAGTTACCTTAACATTAAATTTTATAAATTTATTAATAGATTAATTTTATTTATTTATTTATATCCTTTTATTTTTGTATATATATATTCCAACCAGAGGGCGTTAGAAGCATGAATTCATGTTGTTTGTGTACAGGAGTGAAAGTATTTCGAGTGATTTTACGTGAGAAGTTAATCTAAAATTGGACGAAAAGACACGTGTGACATTTATATAACGGTGATTATGGGCGGATGGAAACTAGAAATAATGAGAATTGCTGTGTATATGGCATTTCCCGTTGGTACTTTTTATTATTTCAATCAACCACAGTATTTTGAGAAATGGGTTGTTAATGTTCGAAGAGAATTGTATCCTCCCGAAAATTTAGATACGAAAAAACGTTTGAAAGACTGCATGAAAGAAATGCGCGAGAAGAAAAATACGGAACTTTTAGAAAAGTTGAATACAGTAGAAAAGAGAATCTGATTGATGTGAATCATTTCAAATGTATGATATATGAAGTGTTTCCTTTTAAAATGTAACAGTATTTAAAAGTTTGTTATAGCTATAAACAAAAAATATTTGTTTTTATTAAAATATGCACATTTGAAATAGGTATGTGTATAGATGGAACTTAACGTTAAAACAAACAATAAATAAACGAAACTGTTGGTGTAATTAACTTTAACTGTTAAAAATTCTCAAGATTGTCTAAAGGAGTGTTTTTCAACCTCTCTCATCAAGGACCGGTGAAATTATGGATAATTTTACATGGATCGGATAATTGTATGTGACTAAGAATTATGCTTATTTATGCTTTTCTAGAGTTACAAGTCTAGATTACTATTTAAATATCGCCTGTAATTAACTACATCAGCTTCAGTGAGGTCGAGTATTTTTCTGCGGACTGGTAAAATTTTTTATGGAGCAGCTGTTGAAAAACACTGGTCTAAAGTACGTGCGAGATGCACAGATCTTGAGAATTTTGCTGCAGTTAAAGTTAATTACATTGATACATGCATATTTTTGAGACCAATCAAAACTTTTTGAAATTATAAAGTATTTTTAAATGAGCATTATATTAAAAGTTATTACTTACTACAGTAAAGCCTCGAAAACTCGGCCACACCCTGGCAGGGCAAAAAATCCTTAGTTAATTAATTTTCATTATAGCCAGCCATTATATGCCTCATAAAGTATTTTTCTGAGGTCTGTCTTATGAAGTAAATTACTGTACACAGTGTATTCATTAATTTTCATTTTTATGTAGTAAAGGCTCTATGCCTTCATAAAGGATGTACTTTTCCTTTGTTTAAGGGTATTTGGGCAGTTTATTCTGTTGTATTCTCAAGTAAACAATACATACAAGTACAGTACAATATTTTTTGAGGAAACACGCATACTTATCCTTTTTAACCCCATTCCTGATAACCTGGCATTTTCACAAACTCTGCCACCCTTCAGTCCACATTAGGCCGAGTTTTCGAGGCTCTACTGTACTATCATGTTTTTACTGAAAGTCTAAAAATATGCATGTCTAAATCCAAAATTTATTCCTTGAAAAAATTAAAACAACTGGAAAGGAAATATTTACAAAAAATTCTATATTCAGTATTCAAATAATCCAAAACTCAAAATGTTTGATGGCTAAGTAGGCATCTTTGGGTTTAGAATAAGAAATTCCAAGTAAGAACATTAATAGTCTAGAACGAACCTATTAAATTTTTTTAGCATATTTTATTAGTTAGTTTTTGAATTTTGAAAATGTTTTCTAACCTTTTATTTCAAATTCATTGGCAACTGTTATTCTAGTACAGTATATGTATAGTCTTTGACTTTATGGACCACTAAATTCATAATTTTGAATCCCATGAACCACTACATGAATTTTTTTTTAACGATACAAACATTTATAGAATAATAATCACGAAAGTTTTATTTTACTTTATTAATCTGAAATTCACTTGTTTAATTACAACAAATTAGTGTAAAGTTTGTTGCTGCTTGTTTGAAATAAGTTTATGGATTCTTGGCTCTTTTCCATGAAGGACGACAATGCACTCACAACATTATTTATTGTTGATTAGTTATTAATTTATTGACATTTCATGTTTGGTTTTAGATTCCAATAGAAAAACCCAATGAGCGAGAAAAAGCAACCAAGCATTTCATAATACTTTCTGTAATCTTTAATTGATCAATGTCCAACTTTCTCCACGGTCCACCAGAATTTTCTTGCAGACCATCAGTGGTTTACAGACGACCTGTTGGCAACCACTGTACTAGAACATCAATCTTATTTAGAATTTGTTTAGACTAGATTTAACTGCTTAAAGCAGTGGTTCTCAAAGTGGGTGATATTGCCCCTGGAAGGCGTTTGAATTATCCAAGATGATGTTAGGCATGATAGGAGGGCCCGTGTACACAAAATGGGGTATTACTATTGATACTAACAGTCAAACCAAGGGGGCAGTAATCCAAAAAGTTTGAAAAGCCACTGGCTTAATGCATTTGTTAAAGTATGCTTGAAAATACTTTTTAATTTTCAGGGTTTCTATTATTTGTTGGATAGAAGTTAACTTTTTCTTTTCATTTATTGAGCAGAATTCTTTGGATGTCTTACAAATCTAATTTGAAATTTTTCAAAGTATTTTAATTACTTTTTGCCAATTATACATATATGCTCAAAATGTTTGCATTATTTACATGTATTTATAAAGCTTTCTTTTGGTCTGCTAAGCTGAATCTCAATTCAACAGTCTGATTTTATAATACATACTAGTCAATTTTCAATGTTGTCATGAAGCAATATGACCAGCAATATGAATTTGTTACTCAAGTTAATTTAGCAACATCAGTACAATGGACTGTTTGGAAACAATATAAAATTTGTGCTTGTTCTTTATGCATTTGCCAATTATAATCTGCTGAAAGTAGAATTATAAAGTACTGTCTGCTAAGTAAAATATAATAGTGATATCATTTCATATGACAAACCAGCTATCAACTTTTGATGGCTTTTGCAATTAAAAATTGATAGCTGGTTTGAGGGGTACATTATTGCTCTTTCCAAAGAGTGGTATAGCTATAGTGAATTAATTGAGGTGCAAGCATAAATTTTGACATTTTAAAGGAATTCACTGTGTTACAGGAAAAGGAGAATTTAGGGAAGCTGAAAGTTTGGTAGACTGTGGCATCCAAAAACAGTAGCCTGTCCAAGTCAGACACCTGCCATAGTGAAGAAGGTAAATCCTAGAAAGTAGGCAAATCTCAGTACCCAAAGGGACATTGTGGAGAAAAGTAGAGTGTTTGGTATGAATTGTTATTTGTATAATTTCCAAAAATCTAAGAGCAAAAGAAAGAACTCAAGTTCACAGCTCATTCCTCAACATATTGCAGAGAGAAAGATCAACTGTAAAAAACTACGTGAGAAATGAAAATATATCATAACTCAATAAAGCATTAATGTACTGAACCTGTTCAACACAAATATGAATGATATACTACTAACAATTGTAGACATCCTCACTATACTATACATTATTTATTTGCCAATAATTTATTGCTGTGGTTCTTTAATATCTTTCATAAATCTATAAGATTTTTTACTTAGGTAACAAATTTTCATCATTTACATGTGTTTATGCCTAACTTGTATAAAATTATTGTTAAAGCTATATTTCAAACATAAAGTAAGCATGCTAAATTTAAAGATTAAGTCTAAATTTATATATTACTGTCTCATTTTAAAGTCATATTTTATTAAAATTTGAAAAATATCATTATACAATTGCCAAGTTTCTTCACAGGATCAATAGGTGTTTTCATCTATTATTTTAGTTTTAAAAATAGTGTGATTTATAATCCAAATTTGAAGATGAAAAGAAAATTTTATTGATATATACGAATATTTCTCTTTGTTCCTGCTGTTCTGTACTGCAAAGATATAGGAGCAGTAAAACAAACATATGTTCCTGTACTAGTTTGCTGTTAGGAGAAAATCCTCCATTCAGTTTTGTTCTATGCATGTGTCACTAATATATTTTTTTGTTTTTATTTCCTTCAATATTTGCACAATAGGGAAACCCTATGCTTTCCTCTCACTTTTATCCTTCAATATTGTTCTTGGCTGTGATTTTTTGATACTTATATAAAATGGTATCTCTACTGCACTAATCTCTGTTTTATCATCATTGTATTT